ATAATCACATACTTTTCCTACTTCCTTTTTGTCCTTCCAGAAATTATAATGTATCCTCCTTGTGTAGACACAGTACAGATACACACACACACACACACACACACACACACACACAAACTTATAATAAAATATTTTTAAAATATTCATTTTTTCTCAGCACATGTTTGGATATTTTTTCAGCCAGTATGTCTGTGTACCACATGTGTGCTGCTTCATGAGAAGGCCAGAAGAAGGTGATATTATTCCTCTAAATTCTAACTACAGGTGAATGTGAGCTGAAACTCCCACCTGGGTCCTATGCAGGAACGACAAGTATTCTTAACTGCTGAGCCATGTCTCCAGCCTCTGATAGTAAAGTATATTGGTAAAGAAACATTGTTATTTTTGGAAATTGACACAAAAATTCTTAATATAATGTGAAAAATAACAGTGCTGAGAAGTTATGACAAGTGATTTGAAATCTATTTGTATTTCTCATAAGTGTGTTCTAATGATTATTTCAAATGAAAGGATTCCTCATTGAAATGCTGTTAGAAAAAAATGCTTGTAAGAAGAGGTGAAGCCAAATTCTAAATTTACTGTGGCTTGTTTAAAAGTAATGTTCTACCTAATCCTAATAAAATACAAAGGACTTTATACCTAAAATTACATCCTTTGCAATATTAAAAAATGAACCAAAATTTTTTTATAATAAAATATGCCAATGACAGAAAAAATCCACAGAAAACTTCAATATTCTGGTCTGGCTTAAGATACTTGGACACAGCCTACTTAAGATACTAAAATAAAGAGCCTACATCTATCTGTGCCCAACCCTGTCCAGGCTCTGATGATTTCCATGTGTCTACTGCACTCACCCAGAACTTCTTAATTGTCTGGTCACACCCTGTTTAGAAGTCAGTCAATGTCAGGTCACAACACAGACATAAAGTATCCCTCTCAGCTTCTGCTGATCTTACCTTTATGGATACCAGGTAAGGAAGGATGTCATTGGAAATTCATTTGGCCCTTTGAAATCAGTGCTAATAGGAAATTCAGATAAATCATTTCTATCATGATTAACCATACATATTTGTTGTCTGATTCCAATCATAGGCCTGATATGTGACATCCAGATAACACAGTCTCCATCCTCCTTGTCTGCATCTCTAGGAGATAGGGTCACCATTACTTGTTGGCCAAGAAGGATATTTATGTTTGGTTAGCCTGATATCAGCAGAAACTAGGGAATGTTCCTAAACTCCTAATATATCATTCATTCAGTGTGGAATCTGAAGTTCTTTCAAAGTTCAGTGGCAGTGGATTTGGGAAAGATTTTACTCTCACCATTAGCGATCTGCAGGTTGGAAAGGTTGCTACTCATTACTGTCAACAGTATTGTAGTACCCCTCCCACCATGAAACAAGCCAAGACATAAATAACCAAAGAATGCAGCAGAGTCCCCAGCTTCCCCTCTTGCTTCCACATGCTAATATTATTTATCAGATACCATCAGGTTGTAAAAGTTATTGTGCACTTAGTGTTCAGTAGGCTTTAAAATTTCCTCTGACCCTTGGTTTCTTTCTTCTTTACTTCCTTCAGCAAAGTTGTGACAGAATATTACAGGATGTGTTTAAGGTTATACATTAAACATGATACGTGATAATACATTTAAGATGATTCTAATTGACTATATCAATTGTGTAATTCAGTTTATAAGAGTACAAAAGTTTTAAAAGATATCAACCATTTTCAAAATAATATTCAAATATATCCTGAACATTTTATATTTTGAAATCATTCCAGAGCATCATTTTACAACTCTCTGTATTTGCCCCCTAATTAATTTATACTGTATGCAAACTTTCTACTGTGGTTTTATTTTATATTAAGAAATGGCTGACTCTTTAAATAGAGAATTGTTCAAAAATTGTGGATAGGATATTGAAATAGCACCCTTAGAATATATTACTGTGATTCCTGTAATTACAGTAAGAGAAAGCACAATATCAACTCTGTGTTTCTCACTATATCCCTATGTCCTATAGGTTTGAATAAAATTTCTCTTACTGTTGCTTTTTTATAAACTTAGTACTATCTACACTATAAAAAAGAGATTTGCTTAACATTAAGAATTAGAGGTTGGACACACACAATTTTGTAATCTCATCTCTCAGTCTCTTGTGGTAATTATTTGAAAATGTAACAACATGTTGAATGAAATCATGCTAGTCTCTTCTCATTAAAAAAGTCACATCACATAATTAGAAAGAGACTGTAACACAAAGGAGAATGAGTTTCGCCTGGGCATAAAATACCACCATTAAAGACATAATTTTTGTGTCCTTACTTCTTTTACATCTCAGACAATTAGAAAGGAGCCACCCATCTTCTGTGTCAGTCCATGTGTGCTGATGAGGTTGGATGTGTTTAAACACTGAAGCACAACTATTTCCATATGAGAAATGGAAGAGATTTGAGTTCTTTCACACAACCATACTGTGATCAAGTAACATTTCTTTACATTGTATAAAGATGTTTCTTGGTATTTTATTTTTAAATTAGTTAATTTATTTATATCCCAAATACTGTCCCTCTTCCAAGTACCCTCTCACAGAGTCTGATGCCGTGTCCTATCCCCTTTTCCCCTGATCAGGTAACACCCCTGGCTATCATGAACCTTGGAACATCAAGTACACTGTGGATAAAGGTAGCCCTATGTGCCAGGATCCTTGGTCCAGCCAATGTTTGTTCTTTTGTTGGTGGCTAAGTCTCTGAGAGCTTCCAGTGGTCCAGGATAGTTGACTCTGTTGGTCTTCCTGTGGAGTTTCTAACCTCTTCAGGGCTTTCAATCCTTTCCCCAACCCTATCATAAGAGTCCCCTACCTGAGTCAAATGTTTGGCTCTCAGTATCTACATATGTTTCAGTCAGCTCTTAGGAAGAACCTCTCAGAGGACAGTTATGCTAGGCCTTAAATACAAGCAAAACAGACTATAATTAATAGTGTCGCAGATTGGTGCTTGCCCATGAGATTGCTTTCAAGTTGGGTGGGTTTTTTTCTTAGCCATTCCCTGATTCTCTGTTCCAACTTTGTCCATGAAAAGTTTTTAGATAGGAACAATTTTGGGTTGAGAGATTTGTGGGTAGGTTACTGTCCTTATCCTTCAACAGGGTCCCTGCTTGTTTACAGAGGGCAGACTCTTCTCTACATTCCCCAAATTTCCATTGTTAATTCTGTACGAGCAGAAAGTTAACTGCTAGCAGAATTTTGGTATTTCATATCTGTGGCCTATCACTTATTTCTACTTATAATAACCCTTAAATTCTTAGGAAAACAATGAGATGTATCAGATGTTGTGTTGCTGATTCAATATAATACAGAACTGGGGTAGAAAGCAGGGATAAGAACTCTAAGTTTGACAGACTGATCCTGGAAGAAGTACACAGAGGCAAGAGAATTGAGAGCATACATGGAGGGAAACAGACGTGGACTGGGCCTGAGCTGTGAGGTACAGAGTTACCCAAGTGGCAGATCGTTGGCTGGATAGTTAGGCTAAGTTTGAATGGTACCTGGCAGTATGTTCCTGTGAAAGCCTTTAAAGATTATTAGCAGCCTCTTTTTCTTAATTATAGTTGTGGTAGGTCTGAGAAAGTTCCACTATAACGCTATGTTTCAGAAGGTGCTTGAAACCACAGATTACAAACTGTGCCTCAAGTAATTTATCCTCAATTCATGACCCTTCCACTCTGGAATCACTATTGGAGCACCTTAAACATCCTGTGGAATATCCTCAATATTTTCTTTTCAACAGAAACCTACAGAGGATCTCAGAGCCTGATGACTTCTCCTTAAGATCTTCTGCATGGCTGACTCTCTCAACTTCTCATCAAAATATCATAAGTTACATATTCATATAACTAAACCAGGTGTTCCTTAGGTGCTTCTGATTACTGACCCTGCCTTCTACTCTCTCTTGACGTAGCTATTGTCTTCAGAAGTGAAGAACCCCTTTAAAATGCCCATTTTTACTATTGGGTTTCATATGGTTTTTTGCCATATTCTGCCAACAGGAAATCTGTTTCAGCCTCTTATGGAACAATTCAAAATTAGAGAGTTGGGGGGAATATTAATGTAGAAGGTGAAGGGAATGGCAACTCCATAAAAAGAACAATAGTATCAACTAACCTGACCGTCTTCGAGCTCCTAGAGGCTAAGTCATCAACCAAAGAACATTCATGGGCTGGTCTGTGAACCCTCGCACATATACAGTAGAAGACTGCCTTGTCTAGCCTCAGGGACAGAGGATGCACCTAATCCTGTAGAGACTTGATGCACCAGGGAAGGGGGAGGATGATGGGGATTGGTGAGGTGGGGGTGGTTGGGCAGGGAAGTATCCTCTCAGAAAGGAGAATTGGAGGGCAGACATGGAAAGGGCAGCATTTGGAATGAAAACAAATAAAATAATTTGATAAAAAAATTAAGCATGCCTATAATAAACAAAATTAATAAATTGCTATGGTCATGGTGTCTTTCCACAGCAATAGAAGTGTGACAAATCATGACCCCTCCCAGAAAAAAACTCACACCCAAACACCATATTTTCTTTCTCTTTTAAGCTGGCATTTCCTCAATGATCTCAATCGAATGAAAATATTTTTCACCCTTAAGGCACAGGGAAAACTTACATCCCATTTGGGTATCTGGATTCCAGCAATGTACAGGCAAAATGCTGATTCCATTCAGAGATGAAATGGGAAAAATTAAGAGAAGTGCCTGCTACATTTGCCTACAATAAACAAAACAAAAAATGAGAAAAAATAAACACAGGCAAAACAGATTGTTTGAAAACAGCACTGGAGAACAGTAGAACATTATAAAGACAGTTATCCAAAGATGCAAATGACATTTTAAAGCTAACACCCTGTGTGGACTACTGTAATCAAACCTCTGGCCACATTTTATCTCTAGGACGAAGTAGCTAGGCCTTAAGAAGTCAGAGGATTTTTGTTCCAGTCTGTGTCACTGTGTGGAAGGGGAACTATCTGACTGCTGGCAGTAATAAGTGGCAGCATCTTCAGCCTCCATGGTGCTGATTGTGAGAGAGTAAGAGGTACCAGACCCACTGCCACTGAAGCGATTTGGAACTCCAGAAGCCAGATTGGATGTTCTATAAATCCAGAGTTTGGGGGAAGTGCTTGACTTCTGCTGGTACCAGTGCAAGTAACGGGAACTTATACTTGAACTGGCACTGCAGGTCATGGTGACCGTCTCCCCTGGAGATGCAGTGATAATTGTTGGAGACTGAGTGAGTACAATTTCTCCACTGGACACTGTGACTAGAAAAAAATAACATAGAGAGAAAGAGAGATTAGTAGAAATAGACACACAAAAATTATTTTATACCACCAATATTTAGAAGAAACAAAAAGAGAAAAGGTGTATTTTAAGCTTAAATTCCCAAGGGAAAAGAATTTTGGTTAGATTCTGAGCTGAGAAACACTGCCCTCTCTTACCTGTGACACTGACTAGCAGAAAGCTGAAAATCTGGACCCTAAAATCCATTGTGTGTTTGGTTTTTGGTCTCTGGGTAATTACTGCTATTCTCGTAGGTACAACACTTTAAAACAACTGTGAGGTATTTGTGGTTTCTGAAGATGAAGTATGCAAATATCAAGATTACTCTAGGCAGTTCTTGGCTCATAAACACATGATCTGTGAACTAAGGCAAACCAGGTTAATCAGGGAAAATATCTACTTATCTGTAGTCACGACACTGATAAAAAAGAAAGTATCTGTTTCCTCTTTCCTTCTTTTTAGGGAGAAAAGCTTTGTCCTACAGTATTACCTATATATTTCCCTAAAGGCAAGATTAATTTGATCTACTAAACGAGGGATATTCAACTGAGTAGTTTGAGGTATATTTTATTTCCATAATAAAGTTGTATCTTTGGTGACTGTTTATGATGATCACAGAAAACATTATATGTTCTTGTTTTACTGAATACTGCTAATAAGATACCTCACCTATTCATTCCAATCTGTTTAGATGATCATTCCCATAAAGCTAACAGAAAAATAGCCTCCAAATATGATTTGGAGCCCAGGTGTTCTCAGAGACATTTCTGCACTTGTCAAGCAAGTTCTGATGCAATCCCAAGAGGAAACAAAAAATAGCTCTTGAAGAAAAATCAATGGAAAAAAAGTTCTTCTTGATTTAAGAGAATATGGGCTAGAGATTCATGATGATGCACTCATCTAAAATGACTCTGAACTATCACCATTCTCAGTATGCATTGTGCTATGAAACTGTTTAGTTCATGTTCTGTTTATTGTCTGGGAATATCAGAGAGCACTTTACAAAAAATTATATTTTAGTTATTAAAGTTTGGCAGGAAATGAGTATGCTAATTCATGTCTAAGTTTGATCAACATTATACTTACAGCAAAAACTGAGGGAATGGGGATGACTTGCATGAGGGGGTACTGGGAAGAGAGAGAGAGGGTTGATATAGTGTTGTAAAGTGAATAAAAATATTTATAAAATAGGTTATTTTTTCTGAGATAAATTTTCAATTATCTTCATATAACTTTGAAATTAGCACAAACATGCTTCATCATGGCTATGTCTCTACAGCTCTCTTAAGAATGATTTCTTATTCTGCCCTTTATGGAAGACTCTGTGATCAGATAGGCATATTGAGAACTACTGACCCATGTATTGTTGAATTCAAATTAATGATTAAGCATGTCTTTCTGAGCACACAATACTAACTAAATGGCTCCTCTTCCTTTCAAAAAACACATGGTCTCATCTTTCATTGTATTTAGTAGCTAGTTGCTAGTTTTACTCTGGTTACTTAAGAATGAAAAAATCTTCAATTATTTTTTGGGGGAATATGTGTTTTATATTTCAACAGTTAAGGACACTAAATCATCCTTGAGGTTATAGAGTACATATATATTTTATACTAGTTGATGGATTTTGTTATGAATAAAGGAAAAGATGTCTCCATCACTGTCCCACTAAATCTGAAATTAATGTTGGATTCTCAAGAAATCTCAAAAAAAATAATTTTGTCTCTAATCTATTGAAATAGAAGGATTTCTAATCTTTTTTAGATTTATTTATTTTATTCTGTTTTTATCTGTAGTTGACCTACATGAATGTATATTCCTAGCAGGCATGTTTGATACCCAAGTAAGTCAGAAGAGGGCTTCAAATATCCTAGTATTGGAGTAATGAGTTACTATACGCCATTATTTAAATATCGCCAATTGAGACCAGGTATTCCCCAAAAGCATCAAATGCACTTAAACTCAAAAAAAACCTCCTGAAACTCCAGAAATAGCCAATCTTCAAGTCTTACTAACTCAGTTTTCTCCAAGAACTCTTGGTATTATGAGTACAATGACTGTTATTCAAACCAGGCAGAGATTGGAGGTCTCCTTGTGACAAGTGGATCATAGCTTGGAAACTTCTTGTTTCCTTTCTTTTTAAAATTTAATTTTATTAATTAATTTTTCTTTACTTACTCACTTTACATCTGACTTACATCCTCGTCCTGCTCCCCCGTCCTAAAAATCTTCCACCAGTAACCTTTGCCTTCTCCTCTAAGCAGGTGGGTGCTCTTTAGGTATTCCACCCACCCTGGCACTTTAAGACTTTGCATGGTATGTACTCACTTATAAGTGGATATTAGCATTAAAATATAGGTACCATATTACAGTCTACAGACCCAAATAAGCAAAATAATAAGGAGGGTCCAATGCAGAAATATTGAATCTTAATTGGGTGGAGGAATAAATAATCATAAGGGGCGGGAATGGGAAAGGAGGGGAAGGGGAATGGAATGGTCATTCTGGATCACATGTTGGGAAGAATGGGAGAGATGACAAGATGCCATGAAAATGAATTGAATTCTACAACTGACAGGGATGAGAAGGTAGCAGGCATCTCTAGGACTACACAGAAACCTGGAATAAGGGAGGTGTCCAAGAATCAATGCGGGGTGACCTTAGCTGTGTGTCACTACATTAGGGATATGAAGAGCCCACCTCCCTTAGATAGACAGGAAACCTAATGGAGCAATAGAGACATCAACCCACTAATGAAACATTCAACCCAAAATTTATCCTGTCTTGAGGTATTTCAGGGACAGGGGAGGGATTAGAGTCCTGGAGAATAGCCAAAAAATAACTGACCCAGCTAGAGATACCCCATGGCAATCACCAAATCTTAACCATATTAATGATACTTTATTATGCTTGTAGACAGGGGCATGTTGTCCTCTGAGAGGCTCCACTAAGCAGTGGACTGAGTCAGATACAGACACCCACAGCCAAACAGTGGATGGAATGTGGGAACTCTTGTGGAAGAATAGGAAGGATTGCAGGACACCACAGGGATAGGAAATCCACAGTAAGACCAAGAAAACCAACTAACCTGGACTCTCGGGGTACTCAGAGACTGAACAACCAACTGAAGAACATACAGTGACTATACAAAGCCTTTCTGCTCGTATGTAGCTGATGTGCAGCTTAACCTTCATATGGGTCCTGAATGACTTCTTGTTTTCTTTTCTTTATGTAGTTAAAGCTCTAATGCTGGTGATGTTAACTGAAAAGAAATGTGATTGTGCTGCCATCTACTGTTAAGATAGCCAAAATGAAGGCAAGGTTGTATGATGCCTATTTTGGTAGTATAAAAAAAAACCCTGCATTCAAAGGGATGCATGCCAAGTAGTAGTGTGTTTAGGGGAAAAAATGTACTTTGACAAATGGAGGGATTCTTTACTTCCAGTGATTATAGTCAAAATGAAAACTAATGTTCACACAGTCAGAATATTCACATATATATCACATTTTATGTCATTATGAAATGAAAAAGATAGGTATTACCTTTTCTCTATTTTACAGTGAGGTTACAGATAGATAAATCAATATAGAATTTACTTATGGTAATGATGGTACCAAGTCATTTAATATAAAGCCATTATATAACAAACTGTAGAATATCCAATGAAGTTTTAAAAGGGTAAAACACTGTGTTTTGATCTCGTGATATGTGGGGCAGTGGGCTATGAGAAAGCCAGAAAGCTTGGTAGAAATCTTCGAAGCCCCGGAAACCTCGGCCTGGAAAGGGTCACAGGACGGGAGGTTGCTTCAGAATTCCCACGCTGATGGCCCTCTTAGCTTCCACTTCCCACAAAGAGACCCGTGACTCTTATCACGTAGGATAGCACCTCCATGCAAATAAGGCATCCTCAAACACCCAAGCCAAACCAATAGGGGCTACCTGTTCTTTCCCCGAAACTGTATATATATAATTCCAGAGCTCACATTAAAGTACTACTGCTGTGTGGTGCAAGGTCTCCTGCTGTCGGAGTGTTTTCGCGTTTCCTCGCCAGTCGCCAGTCGCGCACTTCAAAGGACAACGCTCTCCTCTCCCCTTAGCGAAAGAGCAAGCTGAACTAAAAGAGCTGAGACACTTTTCTTCCGTGGGCTCTCATGAGCGACTCCCGGAAAGAGAGAATTAAAAGAGCTGATAACACTTTCTCGCTTTCGGGGGCTGGGACGGAGGTCCCGCTCCGGTTTTCGGGCGACCAGAGGCCGCTGTGGAGCGAGCCCTGCCCCGTCGGCTGCTGAAGGCCCTGGGCCGGCTCCGCTGGTTCCTTCCACGCCCCCGACCCCGGAGGCCGCTTGCCCACCCCTGCTGGCCCGGCCTGGAGCTGACGCCAGCCGCCGCCGCCGCCGCCGACCCCGGTATCCTGCAGCGGTCCCGTCAGCCCGCGATCCCTAGGCGCGAGCACTGCACCACAGTGATAATGTGACTGCTTTTGAGTTATAGATTCTGGCTACTGCGCAGAATCAAGGAAGAGTAGTGATACCACATACCATAGTATAGAAAATGGTAAATACTTTTAATTCTTGCATTTTGAAATCAGGTTTCCATTGAAAAAGCAATATTTTCGTGGCCTTAAATGTGGAAAATGTTACTCACCTGAACCACCAAATATACTATCAGTACATCAAGAAAGATGATATTGAATATTTCTTTCATTTCAACACCAACTGACCATGTTCTGTATAGGCCTCACTTAGATTCCCTGCTATTTTTCAATTATTACAGAGGAGATAGATTGCTTGAACTCACGCAGCATCCCAGCTCAATTTCAAGTGGATTAAGGACCTCCATCTAAAACCAGCCACAATGAAACTAATAGAAGAGAAACTGGGAAAAAGCCTGGAACACATAGGCAACAGGGAAAAAGTTCCTGAACAGAACACCAATGGCCTGTGCTCTAAGATCAAGAATTGACAAACGGGACCTCATAAAGCTGCAAAGTTTCTGTAAAGCAAAGGACACAGTCAAAAGGACAGAGTGGCAACCAACAGATTGGGAAAAGATCTTCACCAACCCTACATCTGATAAAGGGCTAATATCCAAGGTATACAAAGAACTGAAGAAATTAGACTCTAGACAATCAAGGAACCCTATTAAAAAATGGAGCACAGAGCTGAACAAAGAATTCTCAACTGAGGAAGCTCGAATGGTTGAGAACCACCTAAAGAAGTGTTCAGCATCACTAGTCATCAGG